TAGATCTCCTCAAGCTTATCCCACATATCCTTGGCATTTGAACAAGAATAAACTCCTTTATATACATTAGGATCAATTGCACAACATAACATGTGCATAACCTTTGTATTTTGTTGAGCTTTCTTCTGTTCTTGATGACTCCACTTATTTGCCTTCTTCGTAGGAGAAGAATATCCTTTCTTAATCATCATCCAAGCTTCCATATCAAATGCTTGGATAAATATCATCATAAGCTTCTTCCAACGATGATAATTTGTTCCATTGAAGTGTGGAGGCACGTCAATTGGTCTGAATTCTTCCATGGAGAATGAACCAGAAGTGGACGCCATCTTTATCGATTTAACTCTTCCCGGATCTACTCAAGAGGCGGTTAAACCTTCAAATGAGTCAAGATATGATAGCAATTTTTGAGTTAATCGATTGACGATATGGCCAAGAGGGGGTGAATTGGCAATTAAAATTTTGGTGGAAGCTTTTGTAGAAAATTGAAAGTGATTGCGCAACGATTTAGAGTGGTTCGACTTTCTCAATCAAAATCTACATTCACTACCTTAGCTATCCACACTAAGGATTTTCCACAAATTCACTAATTTGTCTTTCTTTTGAGGACAAAGAGTAACCTTACAAATCCCTCAAGAATTATACCCCAAATTCTTGAGAACACTCTCTCCCAAAGAGAACAATACAAATTTTGCAAACTTACAAGAAAATCCTCACAAGGCAAGATGTTTGCGCAATTCTAGAACAAAGAAAGAACACTCAAGAATAACACAATTGAGCACAATAAGTGTTCTTGAAAGCAAAATGAATATTGAATGAATAGGCTTGAAAATGCTCAAACTTGAGGTTGATGCTTTCTCTTTGATTCTCTCTTGATTCTTGTTGATTGATTGTTTCTTGTTATTGATCAATGACTTCTAAGCTTGTTTAAATACTCCTTCAATTGATTCTGAACGTGTGGATGATTAGTGGAGTCAATGGAGCCGTTTTAGTGTGAAATCAATTAAAAAACAACTTGGAGCGTGGGGGGAATCGGTACCCCTCATAGGGAATCGGTTCCCTAAGTGTAAAATTCAAATATTTTGACCGTTGATCAAGGGGAATCGGTTCCCTCCGAGCATTCTGTTTTTCTCGGAGCCAAAACATTCAGGGGGAATTGGTTCCCTCTGGACAATATGGAATTTTTGGCTTTGAAATGGTTCGAAATACTTGTAAAATGTTTTGAAAATATTTTAAGATTAAAACTTAATTTTACACTTGAGTAAGGATTAAAAATGACATTTGAAAGATTTGGAGTAATATTTTGATATTGAATAATTATATCGAATATACTTAGAAAATCTTTTGTAAAATCTTAAAATTCATTAACTTATTTGTTATATCAATTATCAAAATTTTCAACAATCTCCCCCTTTTTGATATAACAAAACATTTTAGTAATTTAAGATTTTGAAATCAAGTTTGAAATGACTTCCCCTTACTCTAACACTTCTCCCTCTTATTATACTTACTTCTCCCCCTTTATGTTAAATCAAAAAGACTCTAAGACGTTTTTAAACAAGTTTTTTTTTTGAAAAATGAGCCAATTGATATTTAGATATAGATTAAGCTGCTAAGATCACAATCAAGAGAAAGATGTTTGCACAATTCTAGAACAAAGAAAGAACACTAAAGAATAATACAATTGAGCACAATAAGTATTCTTGAAAGAAAAAATAAATATTGAAAATGCTCAAACTTGAGGTTTGATGCTTTCTCTTTGATTCTCTCTTGATTCTTGTTGATTCTTGTTGATCAATGGATTCTAAGCTTGTTTAAATACTCATTCAATTGATTCTAAATGTTGGGGATGATTAGTGGAGTTAATGGAGTCGTTTTAGTGTGAAATCAATTAATAAAACAACTTGGAGCGTGGGGGAATCGGTACCCCCTCATAGGGAATCGATTACCTAAGTGTAAAATTCAAATATTTCGACCGTTGAACAGGGGGGAATCGGTACCCCATTGGGGGGGAATCGGTTCCCTCCAAGCATTCTGTTTTTCTCGAAGCCAAAACATTCAGGGGGAATCGGTACCCCCTTGGGGGGGAATCGGTTGCCTCTGGACAATCTGGAATTTTTGGCTTTGAAATGGTTTGAAATACTTTGTAAATTTGTTTTGAAATTATTTTAAGATTAAAACTTAATTTTACACTTGAGTAAGGATTAAAAATTACATTTGAAAGATTTGGAGTAATATTTTGATATTCGAATAATTATATCGAATATACTTAGAAAATCTTTTGTAAAATCTTAAAATTCATTTAACTTAATTTGTTATATCGAAATATCAAAATATCAAATAAATCTCATAAGTTATCGCTTAAACCGTATTCGGTTCGAGTCTATCCATAATCAAACAGACATAATATCCCAATCATATAAATCCATGCATTTTTCCATTATCAATATGTTCTACAAAGCATAAAAAGGTAGTAATATATTACCTCAATTTTTGTGTCATACTGATCGACCATTTAAACTCCATTCGAACGCCCTCGATCTTGAAATCAACTTCCAATAATTCCTTGGATACATATCAATAGGAATTTCATTAAAAACGGAGCTTAATTGCGAAAAACGAATCGAATCGGGTGATAAATCAGTGAAAAAAAACTTACCAAGTTCGAATTTGGTGAAACGGACCCCAAAAATAAACTTAAGACATCAAAAAACATCATAATAGGTATACCCGAAAAAATTCAACGGTAGTTCAACAGCCGATCAATGCCGGTTAAAGTTCTGGTTAACGGTGGTCAACGGTTAACGCTGGTCAACAGGTCGGGTCGGTCAGTCGGGTCGGGTCAGACTGGTCAAACCGGTTTTCTTTCTTTTTCTTTTTTTCTGCTACCAGACGAAGCTCAGTCTCAAGGAGTGGCGCGTGAACAGTGTTACGATGTTTGAAAAATTCTCGAAAATTTTCTAAAAATTATTTTAAGGCATTTTGAGACACTTACTAAGCTCGGTTCAAAATTTTGAACGGCTGAAAACTCGATTTCGGAACATCGAAAACTTTGACTTCCTCACCCCTCCACGCGTCAGCGACGACGGAGACATGGAGGACACCGGTGGACTCGGAACGATGCAAGAAACACGATGGTGCGATAGGTGTCGAAAATGGTTGGCCGGATCGACGTGAATCGACGGAAAACCAACAAAAATTGAGTTAAAACCGACGATACTTGCGACTGAAATTAACGACAAACAATGACGATTCACGACAAAAGGTTTGAGGGGTTTCGTTCATCGGTCGACAACGAACACGATGGTGGTTTCGGTTCGTCAAACGTTGTCCGGACGATGAGTAGATCGGAGATAAAAGTGGGTTGACCGGAGAAGAAAAATGAGAAAAATCTATAGAAAACACACGGGGGAGGGGTTCTAATTCATCATATAAAAATGGCTAAGCTATAAGTTTAGTCACTATATTTCCTGCACTTCTTAAAATGGTATGCCAACTTTTAAATTTTTACAATTTAATCCTTAATTTCTTCCAAAATACTAATTAAAATCCATACTTTATAATTTCTTAATTAGCCCCTAAATTGGGCTATGACAATGGCCGTCGTACATTGGGAAGTAAAAAGTTGATCCGACCTGTAAAACTGACTTTGATCCGCGTTGAATTTTTTGTTGACTTTGATCCCAATGTTTTTCGACACATTGATTCCATTTTAACAAGTCAGGTTATTTTTTTTTATCTAAAATAAATGCATATTTAATATTACTATTCTAGGATGATTATTAATGAAGAAAGTTATTTCAGGTGCAATATATATTAGACTAGTAATTCTTTATTACGGGTATCTCTGCTTTATGTAGGGAGTAATCCTTTATCGCAAGTTCTTATAATTCCTTACCGTATGTGCATGCAAGTGTAAGATTTTGAGAAACGTATATATTTCTAGTGATTAGACGAGAGTAGTGGTCATATTTTTACAAATTATATTTTAAACGAGTTTTCATGATATTATAATCTTTGTATGTTACATTACATTTTAAGGAGCACACTGAACTTTCTAATTTATCCACAGTTTTACTTTTTCAGATTTTATTGGAATGTAGACTTTGAACTTAACATACAGGATCATCATTCCACTTTTTACTTCTATTTATATACATCATATTTATATGGTTTCTGTACTAATGTGTGTATATATATATTAAGAACTTTACTTTGTGTACTTTGAATATTATATTATTTTATTGATAAATAGATATTATTTAGTTAATTTTTGTATTAAAATGATGTGTACATTTTCGAAATTTTTTGGGATAAGTATGTGACTTACGAGATCTAATCATAATGTCTGGGTCAATTTTAGAAGGTTATAAATTTATAAAACTTAGTTGGATATCCACCAGGAATTTCTCAAACAATGGGCTTGAGGCTCGTTCCCTCGATGAATATAGAACAAATTTCATTTTTAATAATTTGATAAGTGGATAAACAATGTTCCTTTCTAATCTCACGTATTCTAAAAAGAATACTTTGTTCCTTATTAAATATCGCATGGACTCGTGCCTTCTACTAATGTGTTTTTTCTTATAATTTTACACTTAGCTATGAGCTATACCAATTGTTGCATGCAAATCACAAAATAAGAACAACTGAGGAGTCTATTTTTCCCGTAAAGAAATACATAAATATATATAATATATATATATATATATAATTTTTTTATTTTACACTAATTTAGGATCATTGAATAAGTGTAAATTGATGGTTTATATTAAAAATTGAAAATGATGAAAATTTTACGAGAAAATAAAAAACAAAATGAATAATCATAACCATTCATTTATACTCACCTAATAACTTTAAATCACTGTATAAAAGTTTAGTTTCTACAACATGCAACTGAATCTTAAGTTTCTGGAGACTAGTATAATACTTGAGAAAGAAATGAAGCAAAAGGTAATGGCATAAGCACTCACCTCAAGGTACTTAAATTGTGGTAGTATCAACAGAAACGACACCGTTCTTTCCACCAGCTTCAATAACCATATTACATAATGTCATCCGTTCTTCCATCTAAACCAGTAAAAATGATAATAAAACAATTAGATTCACATTCTAACTGAGGAAACATTTGAATTAATCCAATTGGATCTTTTTCAAGCTCACTTACATTTAATCTCTCAATGGTTGTGCCAACAAACTCCATCGATTTATATGTAGCACCAGCCACAAATATTTCACCTATAATCTACGAATTAAACCGCAACCGTTATAGCAAGAATTATATTACTCGAATTCAAGTAAACTACATCCATGACCACTTAACAACGAGTAAATTCTATTTTGAACACGATCTTTCAGTTGTCATTCAAACCACTTAACTATATTAATGATGTCAAACAAGCTACTTGCAGTTAACATTTTCGAGTCCCTCGACTTTATATGATATATGCATGTCACATATGAAAAAATATATAAATAAATATATATGTATTGTATATGGTTATAAAAAATTATTTAAATTGTAATCAAATAATATCATAATAGTATAAATATTTAAAATTAAATTTAAACAGAAACTCAAAAATTCAACTTGACTCGACTCAATTTGAATTTTATAAACTCGATTCGAAAAAATTTCAAGTCAACTTCGAGTTGTAAAATAGGACTCGTCAACTCGAATAACTCAAAAAATTTTGACTCGACTCAACTCGATTGAACTCTCATCCTAGCGATAAGGACATAACAAAGTCGTAAGCTGCTTGTGAATCCGAGTATTTAATCTCCTGCAGAGTTATGTAAAATACCTATTGCGGCCACCATGTTGTTGTTGGTTCTAACAACCCCATTTGAGTTTCCCTTAATCCAACCAATGGAAGGTTAGTTCCATGACATGGGGGTTCGAGGCAGTGATGGATTGATCAGCCCCAAAGACTCTTGAGGCGTTTGGACATGTTGGATGTAGGTGATATGTGTACCAAGGTTGGCTAGCTGTTAGCAGGTAGTTGTGTTGTTAGCAGGTAGTTGTGAAGTTGTTGCAGCTGTTGTGTAGCTATTACTACAACGGATAAGTTTTTACAACAGTTAATGCTGAAAGCATGCAAGCTGTTCAATCTAAGTATAGTGTATATAAAGCTAAGCCTCGTAAAACATTGTGTATCCAATATATCGATCATTGAAATAAACTGCAACTCATAGTTCATATCAGTATTCCAATATGGTATCTTTCCCTGAAGATCTTGGTCTTTAAGCTCCGGCTGCGGTGATGGCTCTTGACAGTCTGAATATCTCCTCAACCTCTGGAGGAGGCTCACTGATGCGTTCGGTACTGTTCACTAACAAGAAAGTGAACGTTGTATTGGATGAGATGAACTTCTTACTGTGGAAACAGTAAGTGTTGCTTACAGTTCGAAGTCACCGCTTGGAAAGATTACTTACTGGTTCGATACCAGTACCACAAGAGACGGTTGTTGATCAGAATGGTGAGATCGTTGTGAATGAAGCCTTTGAGGACTTCATGGCCCAAGACAGTGCACTCGCGTCCTGGCTACTGTCCACCATCAGTCTACAGCTCCTACCTCAATTCGTTGACGCTGAGACAGCAGCTGCAGTATGGGATAAAGTGACTCAGTTTTTTGCTAATCGCGCTACCACAACAGTAATGAACTTGTTGTATAAACTACAATCCCTCAAGAAAGGAGATGACATCATGCGAGTCTACCTTAACCGTGTTAAAGAAGTGTGTGATGCACTTGAGTCTTGTGGGAGTCATGTTGCTCCAGTTGAGCAGATTGTGAGTGTACTCAAAGGGCTACCTCGTGAATATTTGTCCTTTATGGCGGTTATAACCACCATGCGTGAAAATCCTACGCTAGAAATTGTGAGTAGTATGTTGATCGATGTTGAAACTCAGCTTACTGGTTTTGAGTTCTCATCAGAAAGCCTCCCAATGAGTTCTCATGTGGCACAGGCTGCCTCTGACTCATGATCTAATCAAGAATTCAATCGGAAATCATATGTTGGTGGTCGTTCAGGAGGTCGTGGTCGTGGTCGAGGTCGTCCCCGAGTGCAGTGTCAGTTGTGTGGTAAGGTTGGTCACTTGGTTCAACAGTGTTAGTACTAGTTCGATCGCGATTTCCTTGGTAATGACAGTGATATACATCGGTGTAAAACTAGTCCTGGCGACATTAATTTTGTTGAAAACACAAAGTATGACTATTATGGTGAAGGAAGAGCTACTGAACTCCCTCAAGCCAATGCAGTCTCATTCTCTCGTGAGTACTGGGTAGTGGATTCTAGTGCTATGCACCATGTAACACCAGATGCTACCAAGATTGCACAACCCTCTGATTATAGGGGATCATGTATTCTCTTCGTTGGCAATGGTGCTTCAATTCCTGTAGAATCTGTTGGTAATACTTTGGTTTCCTCTCGATCTCAAGCACTACTGCTAACTAACATCTTACATGTGCCTAAGATAACTAAAAACTCACTTTTAGTGTCCAAGCTTGCTAGGGACAACCGTGTGTTCCTTGAATTCCATGCCAATGATTGTTGTGTTCGGAATGAAGTAACTGATAATGTTCTTCTTCTATGGAAGCATAATGGAGGTCTTTACTTGTTTGAGATGGCTGATGACAGGAGCCAATTTGAGAGTCAGACTAGTGCTAGTTTAGTTACTACTTCAGAAGCGTTTGATCTATGGCATAGACGTTTGGGCATCCTTTCTTTCAAGCTTTGAAAACTGTTTGTAATCAATTGCATCAAATAATACCAATAAAATTTGCTCGGCTTATTGTGTTGGGAAAAGTCACAAACTACCTTTTGAACACTCAAAGACTGAGTATTCTGAACCATTCCAACTTGTATTTTCTAACTTATAGGGTCCTGCACCTACGCCCTCGAATGGGTTTAGGTACTATGTTGCCTTTATGGATGCTTGCACTCGACACTCTTGGTTGTACTTGCTGAAGGACAAGTCTCAACTTATAATTGCGTTCCAAATGTTTAAAAGTATGGTTTCCACACAATTTAATCTATCTGTTAAAGCCATTCAAAGCGACTAGGTGGTAAGTATAGACCACTAAATACTCTGTTGGCTAAAGAAGGAATTATTCATCGTGTGACATGTCCACATACCTCTGAGTAGAACGGAGTTGTGGAGTGAAAACATCGACACCTGATTGAGCTGGCTCTTGTTCTACTACCGCAGGCTACTTTACCTTTGAAATTCTAGTCTATATTGTTATCACAACTGTATATCTTATTAATCGACTTCCTATGCGTGTGTTACAACGTGTTTCACCCTTTGAGAAATTGTTTCACAGGCAACCTGACTACAATTACATGAAAGTGTTTGGATGCAAGTGTTATCCCCATTTGCAAGCGTATCAAAAGCACAAACTCATGTTTCGATCCAAAGAGTGTACCTACCTAGGGTACAACCCTCAGTACAAGGGCTACCAATGTCTCACAGTAGATGGACGAGTTTATATATCTCGCCATGTAAAATTTGATGAATTCGTGTTTCCCTTTGCAGAGTTACAGCGTACGCATGGTCCAGCTAGAAAGCAGTCGCCTGCATTGGATATAGTGGTGCAGCCACAACACTTACATGTGCATATGACTAGAGCTCCTGCATATGTGCATGCTCCTCCCATGGATACACCAACCTCTAGTCACCCTCAGAACTCCCTCATGCCCACTGATTCAAATGTGCCATCTACCAAGAACCAGTACACTTCTCTGTCTCAAGCATTTGTTCCTACTCCCACAGTTTCTATCTCTAATGAAGTAACAAGCCATGACGCTCAGGTGCCTGACCAGTCCGTAGCTGAGCCAACTATGTTGTTGTGGTTGAATACATCAATTAATATGCATATGTTGTGTACATGCAGTAAAGCTGGTATCTTTAAGCCTAAAACCTTCATCAGTAATTATGATGAAGTAATTCCAGAAACTGTGCACGAAACATTTCAGTCTGAAAAATGGACTGATGTTATCCATTATGAACTCAATGCTCTTCAAAAAAATAGAACATGGACTCTAGTTCAACTTCCAGAAAGGATGTCTGCTGTAGGATGCAAGTGGCTCTTTAAAATTAAGAAGAACGCTGATGGTACTGTGCAGAGACACAAGGCACGCTTGGTTGCTAAGGGGTACTCACAGGTACTAAGGCAAGACTTTCAAGAAACCTTTAGTCCTGTGGTTTGTTTCTCTATAATCAACATCATCTTATCCTTAGCGGTATCGAGAAAATGTCCACTTCGACAAATTGATGTCAACAATGCGTTCGTCTATGATCCTAAAGGGAAGCCTTTTGTTTGTAAGCTACAGAAGGCGATCTATGGCTTACGATAAGCACCACGCAACTGGAACACCAAGCTTCGTGGTAACTTAGTTGCACTGGGATTCTGAGAGTCCAAAGCTGACAATTCTCTATATGTTAACAATCAAGATGGCACTCGTACGTTCATTCTCATTTACGTTGATGATATTATACTAACAGGAGAATCGTTCAGTTACATCCAACGTGTCATTTGTGAGCTCAACAAGCAGTTCTCACTCAAGGACCTTGGTGAATTGTCTTATTTTCTGGGTATCGAGGTCAAGCGTTATGCCAACTCTATTATTTTGAGCCAAAAGAAGTTTGTGCTAGATTTGTTGGCAAAAGCGAAGCTTACTCTAGCCAATCCCACTACCTCGTCCATGGTTGTAGCCAACAAACTGTCTAAGGATGAAAGAAATCCACTGGTTGATGCTTATGAGTTTCGAAGTATTGTTGGATCCTTACTATATGTGTGTCACACTCGTCCTGATGTTGCTCTCAGTGTGAGCAAAGTTGCACAATATATGCAAGCTCCTTGTGAATCATATCTTATGACAGTTAAAAGGATCTTACGATACTTGGATGGCATAGTGTACTATGGTCTATTGTTTTCTCCTGCTGGTCCTGATCTTTCTATCACTGCATTTGTAGATGTAGACTGGGGAGGTGATGTGGATGCCAGACGGTCAATGTCTGGCCACTGTGTTTTTTTTGGTAACTGCCTGGTGTCTTGGTTGTCAAGGAAATAAAAGACGGTCTCTCGATCAACTATGGAGGGTGAGTACAAAAGCATTACTGATGCGGCTACAGAAGTCACTTGGGTGAATGTTGTGCTTGCTGATTTAGGTGAAGCCTCGGGTACGACACCAACTATTTGGTGTGATAATTTGGGTGACATAGCAATGAGTTCTAACCCGGTTTATCATGCATAGTCCAAGCATGTTGATCTCGATGTACACTTTGTGTGAGAAAAGGTGGCTGCCAAAAAACTACAAGTTCAATACGTGCCAGCTTATCATCAGGTTGCTGATGGATTTACCAAACCACTAGCTAGGGGTACTTTTGAATACTTTTATGATCGGATTAAGGTTCATTTAGTTGAGAACAAGGAAAAAAGTATAGGGAATATTGGATGTAGGTGATATGTGTACCAAGGTTGGCTAGCTGTTAGCAGGTAGTTGTGCTGTTAGAAGGTAGTTATGAAGTTATTGCAGTTGTTGTATAGTTGTTACTACAATAGATAAGTTGTTACAGCAGTTAATGCTGAAAGAATACAAGCTGTGCAATCTAAGTATAGTGTATATAAAGTTAAGCCTTGTAAAACATTGCGTATCCAATATATCGATCATTGAAATAAATTGCAACTCATAGTTCATAGCAGTATTCCAATAGGACAATTGTTTAGGAAGTCAAGAGGAGATTTTATCCCAGTCCCTAGAACCCGAAGGAAGACTATCTCACAAACCAAAGTTGGCCTTGGTGAACTGGTGCCTATGTAAAAGAAGCCAAGTTGATTCTTTGTATCTAGCCAATGATCATACCAAAAGTTCGTACATTTACCGTCTCGAATATTTCAAGCTAAAATGTCATTAAAATCATTCCAAATGTACCACCATTTTCCTGTATCTATTACCGAATACAAGAAAGAGATATCACATGAAACATTTAAAACAATTCTTATTTTAAAATCGATAAAATTTTGTTTATTTAAAAATCACTCAAATTAACAATAATAACCAAAACCTTTTATGTAATACCCCAAATATTAGGCCAGGGACTGTATTGAACATATTTGAAATTGGAAGATTTAATTGAATAAATGGTAAAAGATGAGGAAATAATTTGGAATAGTGTTAGACTAAATTGTATCAATAGATGAATAAAGAGGGCATTTTGGTCCTTTAAAGGAAAATGAATTTTAAATTCATTTTATTTAATAAGGTATTAAAGGAAATAAAAGGGGAAAGGAAAATAGCCAAAATGTTATTTCTCTTTTCTTCTTTTTCTAGTGGTACAAGTTCTCCCCCATAGCAAAGTTGAGGTTTTATTTGGATAGTTTCTTCTTCCATTTTTGGTTGGTTTTTGAAGCATTGACTATTATAGAGGCTTAAGGAAAGATTAATTAAGAGTAAACCTAAAAGATGGATTAAATATGGGAGATTTAAAGAAATGGGTTTTCTAATGATATGTTATGATATGAGTGTTTATTGATGTTTACTAGTAGATTTGACTTTTCAATGAAGTAAATAAGAGATTAGAAGCATTGGATGAGTTTAAAAACAAGTTAGAAAATATGGTGTGATTCTTAGATTCAAGTGAGCTTGAGGGATTTTAGATGTTTTACGAAGTTAAATGGAGGAAAGTGGATAGGGATAAGTATATAAGAGTTTATTAGTATTGTAGGGGGTAAACATAAGGAAATTTAACCAAATTTGGGTAAGTTTTGGGCTGAAAAATGTAAAATATAGATAATGGTATCGGTACTGATAGAACAATATCGATACTATAGGCTTAAAATTAGTAGAATTCGCTGAGTAGTATCGATACCAATTCAACTGGTATCGATACCAAGAGGAGAGCATCAATACTTTGAAGATGGTATCGATACCATTGTTAACAAAATGCAGAAATGGTATCGGTACCATATTATAGTAGTATCG